TAAGCAGTAACTAACTTTAATTGTTAATATCTTTTAAACAATTAGCCGTCTGCCCCCAAAAGGGGGTATAGGCGTGTTCAGGGCGACGAGCTCTACAAGGTGGCAAAGTTTCATTAATAAGTGAGCGTAACACTTGGGTAGTTCCCCTCGTAAGTAGCGTATTATACTGTAGAATACCATGTATAATACATTGTATAATATCTCACGTATAATACGTGCTCAACCCTGCTACAGACTATCGATAAATATTCCCATAGCAGTGCCGCCATACCACTCTAAACATATTCACGTGATACGTTTCACGTTACAGCAGTATCACAGCCGACTCTAGTATGTATGTATGTATTTTATTTTCTTGGGCTCTGCCCAAGATGGCGCTTCAGGGGGCAAGCGCCCCCTATATTGCCTACCGACTCTAGTACTAGCCGTGCTGAAGTAAAAATGGCAACACCGCGGGAGTCCGGTCTGAATATATCAACACCTAGCCTACTCTATCTGCCTCCCGGACTCCCGGACTCTCAGCCAATCAACGTCGTCAGACTCCCGACTACTCTCTGGACTTCACATAACCTCTTTGGTTTCGTTCCAATAATTTCGCTTGTTTCAAGATTTTTATTAACTTATATACACGTTTATCAATTCTTAAATGTTTCAATTTGATCCAAAGATGGTTTAGTATTTGTAGGATGTCGTAAGGAAATAAAAGAAAACCATTACGTTGCGCGGCGAGCACACGAAGCTAGCGCGCAGCGTAAAAGAAGAAAGAAATAGAGAGAATGAAGATAGATGTTAGAAAAGGTATTCAATTTCATTCTTCTTATTTTTGGGCAATGAGAAAGGTATCGCTTCCACCAGTTCTGACCGCGTATGACGCAGAAACGTCCTCTACGGTCAGAACAAATTAAAAGACGGAAATTTAGATAGTATTTATTTCCGTTGGGTTCGTCAGTGTTCTGGGTCCCGTATGGGTCCCTCCTTGAAACTTTGTGTTGGGGTGCGTGGATTTGAAATATAAAGTAATACAGGAAATGATACTGAATGGAAGTTGAAAGAAATGTTAATACAGTTTAGTGTGCAAAAAGAAAGTAAATTCAATTCAAAATAACTATTGAAGCTAACAGAGAACTGAATTCCAAATGACTATTGTTTGAATACTGAATAAATTCTGTTTAAATTCTGATAATTACTATTAGATGAATTCAATTAAAACAATACTGATTTACAAGGGTAAAGATGCTTAACCTATTGTTTACTATAAATGTGATAGAAATCGGAAAAGATACTTAACCTTTGTTTTAATATAATGAGACCTTCTAATATAATTATAACCGGATTTGAAATGTAAAGTGTATTTTTAATGTAGGGCGACTGCCTCGACCAAGTATAATAGAAAATTGAGATTTTGGCGGTTTCTATCCGCAAGGTAACAACCTGAATGAAGAGACTCTTACAACCCCCGAAAGGGCTTTACAGGTCGTCCCTGATAAAGTATCGTAGTCGAAACAATCGTCACACGGAAAATCGCGATGATTCAAAAGTCGGAATATTAATACAGCGAAATAATTGTAATTCGGTACTTGAATGTGGGAAACGAGACTGTTCGCGCGAATCGCGCTGACTTCTCCTAGCGAACTATTTTGACAATAGGTCGCTCGATGGCGACAGCGTTTAGTTTTATACGAATTTAGAGAAGGGAGGGGGGCGCCGCGAGGCGCCAACGAGCATTCGCAAAAGCGATTTAGAACGGTCCGGGTGTGCCGCGTTGCACGGGAAGGGAACGGAAAAATGTCCCGCGTCGCGAGGTACGAGCGCTGCGGAGAAAGGGGTACACACGTGCGAGGCCTCGCGAGTTGTTCGAACGGTGTCATGTGAGTGCGGTGAACGGGCACATGTATGTGCATTATCCCCATGGAGTGCACGATGTGGCGTGCACTCCCCCCTGAACGGACACAGGTATGTGCATTTTCCCGCCGTGGTGGCACAGGAGAGGTGCGTGGGCGTACCATGGTGCGCGGGTCGACCAAGCGTGCGTTTAGCAGTAAGAAGCACCCCCCTGCGAGCGAGAAGCGGATTGCGAGTGGTACGCGTATTGCGTCATACGTGTGTACAGCGTCTTCAGCGGTAATGTATGCGTTTCGCTATGTACCAATATTCGATGATCAGCGTTCATCTCCGTCGTTATTAAGCGCTTGTAAACCAGGCTTTTTCCCTGCCTAAGACCAGGGTTTTTTACTGCCGGTATCGCGTGCCCCCCTTTCTTTGCAAATAAACGTTATTTTCTTTGGTTTTCTCCCCCCCGCAATATTCTGTGTTTTATTTCATAACCTTGCTCGCGCGATTCCATCTCCTGTTACGGCTCACCCATGATTCCATATTTATATCTTGGTTAATTCGATACATTTTCTGGTGCCCCGGGTGAGGAGGAGATGATCGTGCTGACCTGAGTTATGGTTTGATTATTTTTACCGATTGGAAAGAGTGAAATGCTGATGATCGATAGGATCGAAAAGGTATTATTATTTCTGGTACGTTGATACATGTAAGCAGCCCATTGTTCGGACGACCGGGATTTAGGGTGGGGGTCCAACGGTCTCGCGGCCTCGGTCTGGAATATTCCATAGTGCGTTGTTCGCACTGATCGTTGAAGTTTTACGCGTGTTGAGAAACGGCAAGCGCGAGCGCGACGACGGCGGCTGTCCTCGCGAACCCGAGAAACGGCCGAGGAAGATTTCGCGCGCTTCCTCTTACAGGCCGTCCTCTTGAAGGGTGCCGCGGCTCTGTTAAACGGATCCAGGTAGAATATGCGGTAGAAAATGATGTAGAACCCGATGGATGTCCCGGCTGCTTATTTAATTGCATCTTGAGATTGTTCGCCCCCCCCCCCCCCCCCCCCCCCCTCGCGCGGGGGGTCGACGGCGCCTGACGGCAGGCTCGAGCGTGTCGGCGATCGTCTCTTGTTCTTCCTCTCCCCGGTCGAGAAGCTTCGCGTAAAATTCCCGGGTTGCCTAGGTAGTCTTTTGTGCGAATTCGTGGCGTGTAGATCGTGTCCTCCTGATCGATTGCGCTCAACGATACGTTCAATCAGTTCTCGTTTCCTCTTCTTCGCTTCTACTTTATTGAGTTGGTTCGCGGGTTTCTGAGTGTTTACGCGTTACGCGTGTGTCGTCAACACCTGGTGGTTGGATTATCAGTGCGGTTGCACCTGCGGATTACTTCTTCCCTCCCCCTCTTCTTCTTCGGGGTGCACGAGACAATGGCACCGGTCATCCTTCGGCGGGCCACTCACGCGGAGATCGTGGCGCGAGAGGACGCGCAAGACGATCCCTATCTTACCGACCGGCTGCAAACGGCGTACGAGGACACTCTCGATTTCTACTGACGGTACAGTCCGAGCCAGAAGTTTCAGAAAACTGTGCTACGCCGACCGGGCCGCCGGATGAGAGTCTCTCGTCACGGGACGAGCTCCGAGTAGTGAAGCTTCCGAAATTAGACTTGCCCACGTTCTCCGGAGGCTATGAAGAGTGGGAGAACTTTTGCGATTTGTTTACCGCGCTTGTGCATAATGCGCCGCGTTTGGCGGACGTTACCAAATTACAGTACTTAAAATCCTGCCTGAAGAGCACCGCGGCGGACTTGGTTAGGGACGTGACGACCACTAACGCGAACTATGCGACGACTTGGCACGCGTTGAGGGCGCGTTTCCACAACCCTCGGCTGATTGTTTACAACCATCTGGCAGCGCTGATAAATATGCCGTGTCTTAAGCGTGAATCCGCGGTGGAATTGCGCGCGTTCGCTGACGAGGTCCAGCGTATCGTCCGTGCGTTGACGAATTTGCAAATGCCAGTCGCCCACTGGGACGTGTGGTTCGTTTATCTATTGGCCGCGAGACTGGACCCGGAATCGCGAAAGGCGTGGGAGACCGAATTGAGTGTTAAGGACCGATGCGCCGCACTGAATACCGATACAGATGTGTTCACTGCGAGCGCCCTTGAGCGGTTCCCCAAGTTCTCGGAACTCTCGGAATTTTTGGAGAAGCGTGTACAAACGCTCAGTATGATTTCTTCGGAGTTGAGCAAAGTTGAGAGAAGGGCGTTACCCTCGTCAAAACCGATACCCGGCGCCCCAAAGGTGTTTCATGCGTCACCCTCGCCACGTGGCGGCGGAGGGGCAGCGACGTGCCCCCATTGCCCTGGTAAACACCCCTTCCGAGCAATTCCGAGCTCGAGCGCCATCGGAGCGCTACGCGGAGGTGACCCGCTTACGTCTCTGTTATATCTGCTTCGGACAGCATAGGGCCGCCGAGTGCACCTCACTCTTGCGATGCGCGACCTGTAAGGGAACTCATAATTCACTGCTCCATCGAACACCCCCTTGTACCCCCCTGAAACGGGAAGTTTCGAGTAAACCAAGCACGTCTCGGGAAGGGAGATCCCGCGGTTCCGCGGGCTTTAACGTACATACGGTCAACGTGGTTCCCCGAAAGTGTACGGTCATTTTGGCGACCGCTCAGCTGACGTTGATAGGGCCGCACGGGGCGCAGACGCGCGTGCGAGCGTTGTTGGATCAAGGATCGCAGATCTCTTTCGTTTCGGAGTCGGTCGCTAATCTCTTACGGTTGCCGACATGTCGTGTTGATATCGCGTTGAACGGCCTTGGAGAATCGGCCGCCGGCGTTGCCCGCCGGGCCACGCGGTTCTCCCTCCGTTCCGTGACGGACCCATCTTACCAATTTGAACTTGACGCGCTCGTTCTCCCCAAGCTTACTTCGCGGCTCCCGGCTCGACGCGCGTTGGAGCTTGACCTCGACGCGCTTGCGGATTTACCCTTGGCGGACCCGCAGTTTTATTTACGGTCAGCTGTTAGGCTCGGGTGTCCGGCATTTCCCCTCCTCCCCTCTGACGGCTCAAGAGACGGTTCTCGGTTCGATAGTTTCCGGTCCGTTACCTGCGGCCGCTCCACGGCGGGCGGACGCGAGCTCGCTAACCGCGACATGCGCGATGCATTGCGCGTCGGGCGAGCAGACTTTAGAAGAGTCGTTGCGACAATTTTGGACGATCGAAGACTTCCCCTCAGCCGCCGCTTCGCCCCGACCGGAGGACGAGGCGTGCGAGGCACTCTTTAGAGATACCCATATTCGTGATTCGAACGGTTGGTTCGTTGTGCGTCTCCCCGTGAAAGGTGTCTTGCCCGCGGTCGGTTTGGAGACTCGGCGCATGGCGATGGGCTCGCTGGCCTGCATGCATCGTCGATTCGTCCGAGATCCTAAACTCGCTCAAGCTTATCGGGAGTTCATGTCGGTATATGAGTCGCTCGGACACATGGAACAGGTGCCCACATCTGAAATAGATGACCCGCGAGCGTGGTACCTGCCGCACCACGCCGTCGTGCAGTCGACCCTCTCGACTTGGAAAATCCGCGTTGTCTTCGATGCCTCGCGAAGGACCTGCGATCGACAATGTTTGAATGATTTCCTGATGGCCGGGCCCGCCCTCCAACGTGACCTGTCCTTAATTTTGTTGAATTGGCGACGGTACCGTTACGTCTTCACGGCGGACATCGTCAAGATGTTCCGCCAGGTTAATGTCTTCCCCCGCGATCGGGATTTACAGCGGATCGTGTGGGCTCCGAACTCGTCGGACCCCCCGAGAGAGGATCGTTTGACGACGGTCACTTATGGTACGGCTTGCGCCCCGTACTTCGCTATACGCACTCTTTTGCAATTAGCCGAGGACGAACGATCGCGATTTCCCCTTGGTGCTCAGTGCCTCGCGTCAAACACGTACGTCGACGACACGTTCGCAGGAGCGAATGGGCTCCTTGATGCAAGGCGTATCCGCCAGGAACTCGTTGACCTGCTGCATTCGGCCGGTGTCGAGCTCGACAAGTGGTCCGCGAATCACCCGGATTTGCTTCCCCCTAACGCGCCGCGAGCGGTAGAAGAGGAGTCAAGGTCGATCGGCACCGACGAGTCCGTAAAAACGCTGGGAATTTTTTGGAGTCCACACCAGGACGACTTTAGATTTACGACTTCCGGTTTCCACGACGGGTCCGGTGTATTGACTAAGCGGGTCATTCTGTCCAATATCGCGCGTTTATTCGACCCATTAGGGTGGCTAGCCCCCATTACCGTGACCACGAAAATACTCATGCAGGATCTGTGGATTTTGAAATGCGAATGAGATGCCGAACTGCCGGCAGATGTTCGTGATCGTTGGGTGACGTACTGTAGTTCCCTTTCATCTCTCCCTGCGTTGTCTATTCCTCGCTGGTTGGGCGCTGCCTGCGACTCGTCCGCTCAACTGCACGGGTTTTCGGACGCGTCTTCCCGCGCGTACGCCGCGGTAGTTTATATTCGGGTCGGTGATGGCGAGGGCCGATATCGTGTTTCGCTGTTAGCCGCCAAGAGCAAGGTTGCTCCGGTCAAAACTGTGAGCATCCCCAATTTGGAGTTGTGCGGAGCGGTGCTCCTCGTTAAACTTCTCTTACACGTGCGGAAGCTGGACTTCCTCCAGGTCTTCTACCGGTCTTCGCGTGGTCGGATAGCCAGATTGTGTTGTCGTGGCTTCAAAGGCACCCCTGTACGTGGAAAACATTCGTGGCGAATCGGATATCCTTTATTCAAACGGAGTTGCCAAGCGCCTCGTGGGCGCATGTGTCCACGAAGGCCAACCCCCGCTGATCTAGCCTCGCGCGGCTGTAGACCCCTCGAACTAACCGATTCGGAGCTTTGGTGGCACGGCCCTGAGTGGCTCGCCACCCCGGAAGAGTGTTGGCCCAAAACGGAGCCGACTGCGCGCGCGTTGCACGTGACCGCGAACCCCGTTGAACCGGAGCTGCTGACTATATTTTTCTCCCTGACACGACTGTTCCGCGTCGTGGCCTACTGTCTACGCCCGATACACAGACTGCGCAGACGGCTAAACGACCTCGAAGAGCTGCCCAGCTTTTTGACGACATCGGAGCTGGGAGATGCGCGTACCGCGGTTTTGAGGATGGCTCAGGCACACGCGTTTCCTGCAGAAATCCAATTGTTTTCTTCGCTTCAATCCAATCCGGTATTCTTCGCTTAGCCGACTGTTTGTGCGATACGCCCACCAAGCTTGCTTGCACGGTGGACCCTCGCTCACCTCGGGCACGGTTTTGAGACACGTGTGGATTTTGGGTCGGAATCGTCTCGTCAAAACGGAAATTCGTTTATGTATCACATGTCAACGGGTTAAGCCGCGATTGGCGCATCAAATGATGGGGAGTCTACCCGCATCACGAGTCACCCCGGCGAGACCGTTCTCCTCAGCAGGGCTAGATTATGCCGGCCCTATCCAGATTCGCACCTCGAAGTGCCGCGGCCATAAATCGTATAAGTGCTACATCGCGTTGACCCGTGCCATTCACCTCGAAGTGGTGAGTGACCTGACGACTCAGACGTTCCTTGCAGCATATCGCCGGTTTGTAGGACGACGGGGTGTTTGTCGGAACCTGTACAGTGACAATGCCACCACCTTCCGTGGTGCGGATAGGGAATTGCAGTCCATGTTCAAGGCTGCGTCGGACTTTTATCCTGAAGCGGCCTCGTCTCTTTCTAATGACGGGACCTGTTTCGTCCGACGCGGAATACAATGCACGACAGTTCTCGAAGTTCGGTTTATGACATGAACGTGCAAAACAAATTCTGGTAGAGATTAACTTTTCCGCATTTTTATTAAACTTTACAACCGACAATTTCACTTTCGCGCGACAGTAAACTTTATTTTCTCGAACCTCTTAATCCTAATACAATAGCTTCGAATTTTGCGCCTCGCCGTCCCAACAACTCGAAGACATGTCATAAACCTGAAGACCTGAAGAGTCGACCAGCAACACGTGCATAACGGCATTTGCTAAACAAAGGTCGACTTGAAGGAAAACCCTGTACTCCGTCAAACCTTCGAGAACCCCCTCCTTCCACAAGACAACCCACACTCTCTCCCCAAGAGGGGTGGCCAAAGGGCGGACACGCGAGTCCACAATTTTCAGAAAAGGACGTTGATTGGAAAAGACGGAAAAATCAGCAACGCCTTTTGACAGCACTACGAGGTGCCATGGCAAACATTGGACGGTTTGCTCGACACTTCTCTCTCGAACGTCGCATCGATGAGAACACGAAGGTCTCTCAGTTTCAAAGCGCACAGGCATACGAAATCGGCCACTACAAAATAATCTTCACGTCCAACAGTCGGGACGCGAAGTCGAATCCTTTCTTTGAACGTCGTTCGGTTCAAGTGTGACGGCATACGAAATCGGCCGAACTCCATTCACACATTTATCGTCGACAAAAAAAAAAACTATCGATTACAGTGTCCAAAATTAACTTGGCGGACACGTGTTGTGTAGCGTCACGTACCTAAAGGTTTAGTTGGGCTTTACGACCCCAACAAGGAAACAATCCGCGCGGCGACACGCAACACAAGTTTCTACGCGATCGAAGAAACAGGACCTCTTGGACCTTTATTCCCCCGAATTCGCCCCATTATGGAGACCTGTAGGAGGCCGGTGTGCGATCGGTTAAGCACCACCTCATTCGTGCGATCGGTGAGAGAACCCTGACGTTCGAAGAACTGTCTACCGTCCTGGTTGAAATTGAGGCGTGCTTGAATTCCCGCCCCCTGTGCCCCTTGAATGCCGATGTCGAGGACCTCGGTGTCCTCACACCCGCCCATTTCCTTCTGGGCGAGGCGTCAGGCCTCATTCCCGATGAAGCACCGCCGGAGGTGCCTGAGAACCGCTTGGAGCGATTTCATATACTTCAGCTGATTCGTAACCGATTTTGGAGCCGATGGTCCAGCGAGTACCTTCAGTATCTTCAGGGGCGCGTGAAGTGGCGCGAGCCCACGGAAAACTTTGCGGTAGGCCAACTCGTCCTTCTGCGGGACGATCGGTTCCCCCCTTCCAAGTGGCCAAAAGGACGCGTTGGAGATCCATCCAGGGCCGAACGGCCTGGTACGGGTGGTTACAGTGAAGTCTGCAACATCCACCCTGCGACGGCACATTGCGCGACTGCGCCCCCTGCTTTTGGAGCAGGAAACCCCTGGCGTTGCGTCAAGCAAGCGTTAAGTAATTTGCCGAGAGAGATTCGTCCGACGGACGAAGGCGGGCGGTGTGTTCGCGCGAATCGCGCTGACTGCTCCTAGCGAACTATTTTGACAATAGGTCGCTCGATGGCGACAGCGTTTAGTTTTATACGAATTTAAAGAATGAAGGGGGGCGCCGCGAGGCGCCAACGAGCATTCGCAAAAGCGATTTAGAACGGTCCGGGTGTGCCGCGTTGCACGGGAAGGGAACGGAAAAATGTCCCGCGTCGCGAGGTACGCGCGCTGCGGAGAAAGGGGTACACACGTGTGAGGCCTCGCGAGTTGTTCGAACGGTGTCATGTGAGTGCGGTGAACGAGCACATGTATGTGCATTATCCCCATGGAGTGCACGATGTGGCGTGCACTCCCCCTGAACGGGCACATGTATGTGCATTATCCCCATGGAGTGCACGATGTGGCGTGCACTCCCCCCTGAACGGGCACAGGCATGTGCATTTTCCCTCCGTGGTGGCACAGGAGAGGTGCGTGGGTGTACCATGGTGCGCGGGTCGACCAAGCGTGCGTTTAGCAGTAAGAAGCACCCCCCTGCGAGCGAGAAGCGGATTGCGAGCGGTACGCGTATTGCGTCATACGTGTGTACAGCGTCTTCAGCGGTAATGTATGCGTTTCGCTATGTACCAATAGTTGATGATCAGCGTTCATCTCCGTCGTTATTAAGCGCTTGTAAACCAGGCTTTTTCCCTGCCTAAGACCAGGGTTTTTTACTGCCGGTATCGCGTGCCCCCCTTTCTTTGCAAATAAACGTTATTTTCTTTGGTTTTCTCCCCCCCGCAATATTCTGTGTTTTATTTCATAACCTTGCTCGCGCGATTCCATCTCCTGTTACGGTTCACCCATGATTCCATATTTATATCTTGGTTAATTCGATACAGAGACGATCTAAAATGAAGACACTCTCACAACCCGTAGGCTTAATAGATCGCCCGTTTTGCCTTGTCGAAACTCAATAATAATGCCGTGCTCGACAAATTAGTACAGAACAGGCTTACCGTGAGACTGTAGAATATAATATACGACAAAAATCGCTCTGAAGTTTGCTATGTTATCGTTGAAAAATCGCTGTTGAATCTGGAACACCAAGAAAGATGAGAGGCTGGTGTCGCACTAACACTTGTCGCGCACCCGGTTGTTGTTTATTGCAAATGAAAATTAAACAAAACGTATCACAAGACAATTACAATTTTTGAAAAATATAGAATAATAAACGCGATTGAAGTTAATACGAAAATGACGCGATCTACGGATTAAAAGAAAGAGAAAAGATAGTATTTTAATAGTATGAAATGAGTTTAACGTGCGCGTCTCTGAGTCTTTGCCGCGTATCCGGAATTTCACCCTCGCGACACTCTGCCTAATACGTAGGACTTGCCGCGCAGCTAAGTTACACGAAGTACAATCGACAACTCTATCTGTAGACGCACGGGCTCCCGTCACGACTTACTCGATTGTTCGACGAAGAGTGATCAGAATCGATCGCGATCCTAGCCGGAAGGGCCCGTCGCGAGGAGGATGTCCTGCGTGAGGACATCTCAACAAATCATAGCGTGTGACGGTAGCGTCACATGCGTCGCCATTGGTTAAGGACGCGTGCCAGACGAAATCCTCTAGATCATTTTCTCTCTCCCTTTCTGGTGTTCCATCTCTGTCTAACGGCTTTTCGATGTTTCTGCGCCGCGGCGCGGCGGTTCGGCGGCGCGGTCCGACGCGGTCATGGTGTCGTGCGGCGGTCCGGCACGGTTACGGTTCGAGTCGGCGGAGGTAGTAGGATATCAGGATAACGGAGTCTTATGTCACTTCTGTGGCGGACGGTCGCGGTACGCGGTTTCGTACGGGGGGGGAGCGTTGGTCCGGTAGAGACCCGACAAGCGTATGGTCCGATCCGCCGGTCGGAAGCCGCCTGGGGTGGCCTCGGCTGTGGCTAGGAGAACAGTGATGCTTCCAGCGGCGGTCGCAAACGCGTCTCGACGCCGAACATTACTGGAGGAGAGTGTAAGGGAGTCCATAAATACGGAACAGTTTCACTATGTCGCATTCGTGAGATACGCTCGGAG